AAGATAAAATTCATTGCATTGCTACAGAGTACTAACTCGTTTATTTTACTAAGTTTGGGTAAATATATGTTTAAGGGTTTTCATTACAGAGAAACTGAAATGGAAGTATGATTTGAAGTATATGTATCTTGTAATTTTAAAGCGACCGTGTGTAATTTAAGTTTTGAAATGTAACAGTACTTTAGGCCGGTGGCCATATAGTGCGGAATAAAGAAATAAAAAAATAATTAAAAAACTCAAAACTTGTGTTGTCACTGGTAACAACCAACTCAAAACGTGTGTGTCACTGGTATCAACCAACTCACAATTTGTGGCGTCACTGGTATCAACCAACTCACAATTTGTGGTGTCACTAGTAAAACCAACTCAAAATTTGTGGCGTCACTGATATCAACTATCTCATAACTTGTGACGTCACTGGTAACAACCAACTAAAAACTTGTGATGTCACTGGTATCAACCAACTCAAAACTTGTGGCGTGACTGTGAAATCTACTATCTCATAACTTGTGGCGTCACTGGTAACAACCAACTTAACTTGTGGCGTCACTGGTAACAACCAACTCAAAACTTGTGGTGTCACTGGTATCAACCAACTCACAACTTGTGACGTCACTGGTAACAACCAACTCACAACTTGTGACGTCCCTGGTAACAACCAACTCAAAACTTGTGACGGTACTGGTAACAACCAACTCAAAACTTGTGACGGTACTGGTATCAATAATAGCTATGCTGTCTCAGATCATTGTACTATATGTAACCAACAGATTGATGACGTCATTTATGATATCGTGAAATTAGCGCTTCAAAGTTAATGAATGAATATTTCTAGTATCAGGTACACTACGAACGTCGAGATGCCGAATTAAATAACAAGATCACAGACATGAATAGATGAGCAGGGTAGTATAATCTTTGTTGACTCTGTAACAAGTTGTATGTCACAAAGAAATATTATCTAAAGTATTTGTACGGTGACTGATATAATTGCAATATATAAAGCAAAGCTTATGAATTGGCTTAGTCGGTTCTTTAACCAAGACACTGACCCCCCCCCTTGTAAATTATTGCCCAGGAGTAAACTGAAAAAAGCTGGTAGCATGGAAATTTTACTAAAATTAAACTTTCGTATTGAATCACTCTCAATAAAAATTAATAAATTTCATCACAGTTTGTCGAAATCCCGGCTCACAGTTTCGGACCATATCTCCAGGAAAAATCACATCAATCAGTACATTTGGAACAAACACAATATCAAAATTGCAGACAAAAGTATTTTTTACGAAGTGTTTGTGCGGATAGTCTTCTGTTTGTGGGGTTTCTTTTTTACCACTAAAAGAAAAATACTACAATTGAGAGAGATGGTCAATAGAAATGTGTCACACAGTTCCTTTCTTAAATGATATGACATATTATCAGCATTTCCATCAAAGTTTTATATTGTAGCTGAACTTAGAAGCTACACAATTGTACCATTGATATTTGCAGACAGATGGTTAGGTACCATCATGATGACAGAATTGTAACTGCAATGTGAAATGAGTACAAAACAATGAAAGCGAAACTATAGGCAGCCCATTAACAAAATCATATGCGTAAACTTACAAGAAATTACTGAGATCATCGAGGGCCACCGTGATTTATTTATAAAAGTGTTACGGTAACCCGTTTTACGTAAAAAATAATAAACTACGTACATATAACAAATTCAAATACTTACCATATTTGGAATCTTGTTTTATTCATTATTGTCGTCTGCGACATTGTTTGTTCTTTGGTTTGTTTATTGGCCATACGTTTTGCAGTTCAATATTTTGAATCAAATAAAATATTATATTCTATGTAATAATTTTTCAATTTACATTTACATATGCAGTTTATTGTTTTCACACAAATTATTAATCTATTCTACCCAGACCATTGTACTATATAAAGCTAGCCTGTATCATAGGATAGAATATTACCTAGTCTCCCCTGACCAAGTTTGTTTACATGAAATTCGAACACGCACTGCAGGGCGACAACTACCTTTTAATCTCTCTCTTCTAACCTGATGTTTTTCAATCATACCAATCACACAGCGTCTATCTTTGTTCCAATAATTTCCAATGTTATTTACTCCATTAATTTGCTATAGTAGTGTCACCCATTCTGATTTATTGTCATTGCAAACAGAACTAGACTGTTTTCTTTCTTCATATATGTTCCACCATTTTTTCAATGAAAACCGAAAGTGAACGTCTCCCTACTTTCCCTCTCACAGCTATATTTGTGGCAAAACGATCTACCTGGAAAAGCAGTTTGAATGATTTAAAAATTTAAAATTGAGTTATTCAATCAAAGTAAGCAGTATGTTTGTGCTTTTCCACAACCGTATGTTAAGATGCGTTTACCGGTAATCAACGTGCCTATTTACTGAATCAAGTACATTAATCATTCTATTTCACCATTATTACTTTACTTTAGCAATCTCCTGTTGAAAACCATAACATTGACGTTAACGTCAAGATTCCAGTTGTTACACTGACTAAATTTAGAACTTCATTCTATTGCCTACCCGTAGAATTAGGAAGACACATGGGGATTAAAAATAGAGATGACAGAATTTGTCATTTTTGTAATTGCAATTCAGTGGGAGCTGAGATACATTACTTTACAAAATGTTAGCATAATATTTGTTCAGTTGGTTACACCCATTCTAATGTATGGGTCAGAAATTTAATTTCTTGGCGTTAGTAAATTTACACCATCAGTTGGTATAAGGGGTGAACTAGGTAGATTATCAGTAAGAATAAATGCAATGGTTTCAAAGGTTAAATACTGGTACAGAATAAATTTGCTTCCTGAAAATCACATATTAAAATGTGCATTAAAGGAAATACAAAATAATTCTACCTGGATTACTCAAATAAAAACATTTTTTGGAGAAAAAAACTTGTCAACAATATTAATCAACTAACCAATGTTGTAAAAACAAAGCTATCAAATGAATTTATTCAAACATGGAGAAAACAATTAAATAAAAAAAGGGGGAACAAACTTAGAACATATAGTATATTTAAACAAAAATTTGAATTAGAAAACTATCTAAATGAAATGAAAAACTTCAGCCAACGTAGAGTGTTAGCAAAGTTCAGGCTCAGTGACCACAACCTTGAAATTCAATTGGGAAGGAAGAGTAAACCAAAAACCCCCAGAAAATGAAAGAACTTGCAAAAAATGCAATTCAGATCAAATTGAAGATGAAATACATTTCATTTTAGATTGCAATTTCTATGAAGTAGAGAGAAAACATGTCTTGAAGTATTTTTAAATAAATATTAATGACTTGTCCAGAATGGAAAGCTTTGTGAAAATAATGGGCAATAATATGGCTTTGTCATATTATTTAAAAAATACAATTTTTTAAAAGATAAATATGTAACTGTGGTCTGGGAGAACCTTGCTGCTGTTTAATTTTTCAGAGATTTTCTAATTTGTATTTCTTTCTATGTTGAATTTCAGTGTATTTTAATTTTAGTGTTTTAGTGTGTCTTTATTTTATTTGTCTTTTGTAATCATTTTTTTACCTTACTAAACCCACAGATGGTTAAGTTATGTAATAAAGTTATTATTATTATTATTATTATTATTATTATTATTATTATTATTATTATCAAAGAAAATAGATGGACATTCCTTGCAAACAAAAAATTGACAAAATCCCCGATGGGTAGTTATTTACTTTCGTGTTTTCTAGTAATGACAGCTATATTTCCAGCATAATAGCAAATTTTGTTTTTCTTAGAATTTAATTTCTTAGAATGTCTTTAGCTGTGTTGTATTGCTATTTATGCCTCTGTGTAAAAAGATTTACATAGGATAAGTACAGCAAAAAAAAGAGTTTTAAAATAATAACAAGATATATGTAAGAATTGTACAAAAAACAAAAAAAACAAAAAGACTTAACTAGTATTTAAATGTTAAATAAATGTTTTTGTTGTGTAAATATAATTGGCAAGTTCTATAATTTATCAGGATCTTTGCTTGAGAGTATATATGTGAACTGTATATTTTTATTGTTAGATGAAGTTTTCCCTGTGCGTGTTATATTTTGGGCAATTCAATAGAAAATGTTCTTCATCTTCAATTGAATTTGTATCAGTTATTGCATATTCTTTTGTTTCTTAGGAAATGAATATCTGCCTTCCTCTATTGCCAAGTTATGGTTACTAATTCTAAATTTTGTGAACATTTTCCTCTTATGAGTGTTCAGTTCATTCAAATATGGCTCAAAGATGTATTCTGTTTTAAATTTAGCATATGTTCTCAGTTTGCTATTTTCTTTGGAAATCATTTCTTTCCAGAAACTGGTATATTTATTTTCAAGGGAAGTTTTTAAAATTTGACTATAAAATTTGATTTTTTTTGTTTGATAGTGAATGTTTTTTCTTTTATAAAGTTTAGTGAATTGTCTTTCAATATTGTATGTATTGCATTTAGCCATTTGTATAGTATAGTATTGTGTTGTGTTTGTTCTAGGTATGCCTGTTTTGTAAGATTATCATCTGGGAGATCCTTTATATGCAACCAGTAATTAATAGCTTAAACTTTTGCACTGAGTAGTAGTGGATAATGACCCACCACTGCTCTTGATGCTAAGTTACAGGATTTGTTATTTACTTGTAAGATTTGTTTGCAGAATTTAATATTAATGTTTTGTCCCATTTAGCATTGTCCTGGATGTCCTGCAAGTCTAGGGCCCATAATTCTGAGCCATAAAGCAATTTTGCAAATCTTTCTCTAATGTACGAGTATTGGGAAGGGAATCGGAGAATTTCATCATTTAGCAGGTTTACATGATTCGCCTATTTGATTCAGCAAATCGTTTATAAATATATTGAAAAGAATTAAACTTATATGTTTGCTATCCTGTCTGCCTTTGTTTACCGGCAAACTCGCCACATTAATTGAGCATGCGTATTTCGTTCTTGCTTTCTCGCAATTCGTGAACTCTCGCGGCCCCTGAACCATCGTGTCGAAGAGCCGGGGTCAGTAGACGAAACAAATTGTTAGCTGCCAGTATTGACAGCTTTTCAGATATCTGTGTTTTGTCGACATTTCTACAAGCAGCGTTTTCATTGATTTTATAGAATGCCTGTCCTAACCATTTTTACTAATGTGTCGCGTGACAAAATACCAAGCGATTCCATCACGACATTGACAAAACTATTGGTGGATCTCCTGCAGAAAGATCAGAAGGTAGGTGTGGAGGTGGCCGTTTCACCCCCTCCGGGATGTTCTACTTTCGCAAGCTAATCGCAGGTTTTTTCGAAAAACGTCGAAAAAACACAAGAATTAGTAGAAATGTTCCTATTTTGGGCGGATTATTGATAGAGAATAATGTCTTTATTACAAAAATGCTGAAAAACCGTGAGTTTTTGCCTTAGTTATTTTTTTATCGGCGAAAAACTGCGAACTCGGCAAATTTGATTGCACAACTTCCCTCTATCATATACACCCAGCGACATTGCTGCAGTTTAGCAGCTCTTGTCGCCCGCAACGTATACCACGACTAAGAGAGCTGCATAAACTGCAGCAACCAGCGACACCGATGCCAACTGACTGTTGCCATAACGTACGTAACATTCGCTTACTAACTTTTTTTGTTATTCATTATTAACTTTATTACATTATAAACACCAAATTAGAAATGTAAAATTTTCTACGCGGTTGTAAATAAAAGCTGCTGTCTATCTACTAGGTTCGGGCACAGGCGCTTGTCACGTTTCTTAATCGGTTGTCTGTATGTGTACTGATTTGTAATATTTAAAGCTATTTTAGGGGTGATATTTTCATTGGGACTTGACGACACCCCTACACAGCCTAGCCCTGTCGTGTACATGTCTGCGGCCGGAACAGCATGGGGCAGGACTCCAGAAGACTTACCTACACTTTATGCAATTTTTTTTTAATTATGCTAATTTATTCATGACGTAGCAGTTTCTGTGCTCATGAATATTCATTAATCTGTGGGTCAATACATTTTAAAAGGGGCGATATATTATTTTTGGGGGAAGAGTTAGAAAGGGGGATCAGTAATCATTAGGGGGTCAATACAAAAGAAAGGACCCTCATGTCTGTTGTTGCACGTGACCTACAGCTGTCAACTGTGTTCGTTCTACGTCGACTTTGACTGCCTTCCATATGAGGTAGTATTCTTGCGTTCTGTTTTTCTGACTTGAGTTTTTGAATTCGCTGTTTATGTTTTTAACATCTTTCATGCCTTTTGTAAAAGTGTCCAATCCGTGTTTCGAACTTGCGATCTTTGAGTTCCCAGCACACTGTCTTGTCCACTGTACCACGAGTGTCTTCACACAAGAGATAGGATTTAAGTCCTATTCATAGGAGCACTGTCTTCACTAGCATTCAAAAATCTAACTAAACATACTGGATTCGAACCAGCAATCACTCACATTGCTGACATAGTACAAATCAACTGAGCTATGTGGGTAGTCATGCAAATTGAATAATTTGTTGTCATATTTAGCTTTATTGCCAAATAGTGTTTGCGAGAAAAAGATGGGCAGGCAAGGA